AGTTTCAGCTTTTTCTGCTATTTCAGCTACTATTTAGCTGTTTTAATTTTTTCAGCTAATTCCACTTTTGTTGCATTCATTTCAACATTGTTATCCCAATTCAGCAGAAATATGCTCTCTCCACTTTCTTCTGGTAATTTAAGCTTATTTCTGCTTAGATAGATGAAGCTTTTGTCCTTGGTTACCCATGTCCCAGGAGAAATTTGATAGTCAGCCCGTCTCCGAGGCCGTCGGGGAGTCAGATTCAGATAAGCTTGATTCTTGCTTTTCTTCAGGCAGAAATTACTTTTTCCAGCCTCGAGTCCATCTGGGCGTTCTGGTTACGAAAATGCCTAATTGTGGGATTCCATTCCACTGATCCATGCTATGAGTCTCCTTCAAGGTTGAGGTGGCCTGTGATTCTCATAAATCGACTCCACATTACGGTTAAGCTCGTAAACCAGATGATTTAAAGTTCCTAAAGCCCGGATCAAACCTTCACACTGACTCAGAAGCTTTTCCATGGCCGAAACTGCTGCCGATGTCTTCTTCAAAAGTCGATAAAAACAGAGCCCCACCGATGCCAAAAAGCAGAGTTCCTGCTATCATAATTCCAAATATGTATACGTATTCAACATCCTCCTGAGACAGGACTGAGAGACACATCATCTGCCACACTCCCCACAAATCCATGACGTACCCCACAGAGTGAGTCTCAGATGGACACGCCGGTTCTCCAGGACCTTGTTGCTTTGATGAAAAAATCTTATCAATAGAGTTGAACACCCAAGATCGCCGGTTCACGCCCCGGCCCCGACAACATTAAAAAAAATTGTGGGTGGGGTAGGTGAAGCACCCACACTTGCCCCCACCCTCATTCGCCCCACCCTGGGCCCATGAGCAAGGCCCTTAACCCCACCATCTGCTCCCTAAACAGGTCTCTCTTGAAAATGAGTTCTCGTGGCTCAAGAGACTACCTGGATAAATAAAGGGTAAATGAAAAAAAATAAAATAAATTGCACCAGTCCATGAACATATATTCGTGGGTCTCATAGTAAATTCAATGCCATTTTCCAAATTCTTCTAGATAAAACACACTCTGCATTGTGTACAAGTGAGTAAACAAGGCTGCATTTGTTTATCCAAGTTTGGCTGCCACATGATCATTCATATGCAATCTTTTGTGTTCTGTAAATAGCACGAGGAAGAGCGCTTATTTAGGTCAATGAAAAAACTGACATAAAAGATTTCAAATTTCATCTTTCTAAAAGCTATTACAAAACACTTCAAACCGGGTGTAGGCATCTTCTGGCTGTTTCAGTGAGATTTCTAACTGGACCACAGCCACTAGGAGGTTGAAGCCAACCCACACATGATGCTCCATGTTGCCGAAAAGCATTGCAGTAACAACTGAAGCAGCTGATGTGAAACATCAAGCCAGAGCTGCGGCTCAATAATATGAAGAAGTGATGACATACAGTCTGTGGACCATTCGCTCACACAATCAAAACAACAAATGGATTTATTGCCAAGGGAAGGTCAATGCCTCCATGTGTTGTCTCTGGACATGCTCACCACCCTTGCGTTCCCCCCACTGTGGAATGTCAACGTCATTATGTGCTCGTTTGCAAGGTTTTTTTTTTCATTATAATGCTGTTAACCTTCAGCCAAAGATTAAGAAAATGTTAGTAATTTATTTTGTCTCCAAACCCGTGTCATTTTTCAACAATTTTATCGTCTGTCCAAACAGGTCTCACTTGTAAATGAGTCTTTGAGGCTAAATGTGAATTATCTGTTTAAATAAAGGTTGAATGTATGAATAAACGTAATGCAACTTTGAGTTTAGACAAGTTAGTTCAACATAAATCATATATTTAATGTGTTGCTCCACATCAACACAGCTGAGTTATGCTCCATATCTCTTATGGTTCCACAATGCTAGCTTAATTTCTAAAATAATCACCACTGTGTGGGGTGCGTCCAACATCATCTGTGATTTATGAATCGTTAGAGGCAGATTAAAAACAAACTGGTCTTTGTGGCCGTTTAGTGATTTAGTCTTAAAATTTACGTTGGAGTATTAAAATACCATTATCGTGTCATTTTTCCTCTAAATTACACCTTCATGCATGTGATCAAAGCATGTTTTGTGAGCCAGGAAAAGAAAAGACCCTGTGACCCTCGTGGAAGGGAAGTGAATCTCATCTGCAAGTGAATCGAGTTTGAATATTGGAGCATCTTGTGCAGCTTTAAACTTGGATCTCCACACTTTCCAGTTTTGGATATACAACAGTACATTTTATTTTCACTATTTTTATCCACAAAGATTAGGTTAAATACACATACACACACGTTCTGTACAAATCTATCCAGCTTTGTAATAAAGATGGACATTCTTTTTTTGAGAATGAGTCTACCCTTGGACACCTAATACAATTATTCCTTTATTTACCCTCAAAAACCTTGGTAGCCTGAAACACAGAGGACAGAAAGAGAGGAAGATTTGAAAGGATACGTGATGATGGCGTGCAGGCGATCGATGTTTTGCCGGTGATACAGGATAAAAAGCAGACCAAAGCCAAACACAGCCATAATATGAGCCGTCAAAGACAGCAGGAAGAGGAAGAAGTAGCGGTAGTTCCTCTTGCCGATGCAGTTGTTCACCCATGGACAGTGATGGTCAAACTCCTAAAGGGCAAAGTTAAAACACGTCTGTCAGAGCAGGGATCTGAAAAACATTTTTCTGTGCGTCTAACAAAACACAGTCATACAAATCGCCTTTTCATGCCGTATTTACTGGTGGAATAACTAGAATCAATCTGAGGTTTCAATGTTTCAGGAGTCATTCAGCAAACAGAATCTGGAGACATAGATCAGAATGCTGCAGCAGCTGTGGTTTATATAGTGTTGTAAAAAACGCTCTATTCAGCCTCTTCTTGACTGCCTGGCTGACATCCGGGACTGGATGGCTTTAAACTTCTTAAGCTTCAATGAGAAGAAGTCTGAAGTCATGCTGTTCCATCCCAGTGGCTCACTCATGAACTATGACATTGACCTTTTCTCTCTAGCCCCGCTAGAGAAACAAAAGGTGACTAATCTGGGGGTGATAATGGACCCGTCCTTAAAACTCAACAGTCACGTAAACATGATGGTCAAATCCTGTTTTTTTCAGCTGAGACGGCTGTCTAAGCTGAAGCCTATACTCAACAAAAAGAACCTTGAGACAGTGATCCACGCCTTCATAACATCTAGGCTTGATTACTGCAATTCACTTCTGTTTGGAATCAGTCAGTCCTCCATTGCTCGTCTACAACTGGTCCAAAATGCTGCAGCCCGATTTTTAACTGGTACAGGCTATAGAGAGCACATCACGCCAGTTTTGGCCTCCCTGCACTGGCTACCCATTCACCTTCGGATCCATTTCAAAATTCTCATGTATGTTTTTAAATCACTGAACAGTTCCGCCCCATCCTATCTCACTGATCTTCTGCAGCCATATGTCCCACCGCGCTCTCTGAGGTCAGCAGACCAGATGCTTCTCTCAGTCCCAGAAACCCGTCGTAAGCTCAGAGGTGACAGGGCTTTCTCTGTTGCAGGTCCACGACTGTGGAATGAGTTGCCACTGAGTGTCCGGCAGGCTCCCACACTCTCAGTCTTTAAGTCTCGCTTGAAGACCCACTTCTATTCGCTTGCCTTTAACACGGTGTGATTTGTTTTGGTCCGGTCTGTTCTCTACTCTGTTGGCCATTTTAGTTAGCTCCTGCTGCTATTTGTATCTGTATTTCTATTTTATGTTTTCCTGTTCGCTGTGCATGTTTGTGTTCTTTTGTACAGCACTTTGGTTGGCCTTGTTGCTGTTTTAAGTGCTATATAAATAAATTGGTATGGTATGGTATGGTAAATACACGGAAAATCACAGTTTCACTATTTTCTTTCTTTTTTATCAGCTTTCGTCTTCATGATTTAGCTATTGTTTTATGCTGATGTCCTTCCTGACAGAAACTGGGCTTGAACCTGCAGCCTCAGGATCACCACATTGTTCCACTAACCACCGAGTTACAGTGGTCCTGAAACCACAGGTTCATACTAACAAAACAAAAAGACAGAAACTTTTTTACCTCACTGATTGACATTAAATCAGACTAAACATTTCATATTTTATGTCAGCTGGATTTATTTTTTCCCTAGTTGTTAAATTTTCAAATAAAGACAAAAAAAGGAGAATTTTTTTAAATTAATTTTTTTCCAAGTCACCACTTTTCTAAACCGCCCAAGAACAACACAGATGATGCTGGTGTTTGGCTGCCACATGTAGGCAGAGGGAGGCTACCCTCTCATTCACCGGGGTGAACCCCAACACACAGGCACCAAGATTGGGGGACAATAAGTACGCCCACTCCTGCTCAGCGCCTCTCACCAGGGGCAACTCCAGAGTGGAAGAGTGTCCAACCCCTCTCAAGGAAACTGGTTCCAGAGCCAGAGCCATGTGTTGAAGTGAGTCCGACTATTTCTAGGCGGAACCTCTCAACCTCACACACCAGCTCAGGCTCCTTCCCCACCAGTGAGGTGACATTCCACGTCCCAATAGCCAGCTTCTGTAGCCGAGGATCAGGGTCCCCGCCCTCGGCCACCACTCATCCCAGATTGCACCCAACCCCTTTGGCCCCTCCAACAGATGGTGAGCCCATGGGAAGGGGGACCCAGGTCTCCTCTTCGGGCTGTGCCCGGCTGAGCTCCATGGGTAAAAGCCCGGCCAGCAGGCGCTCGCCAGCATGCCCCACCTCCAGGCCTGGCTCCAGAGTGGGGCTCTGGTGACCCACGTCCGGACGAGGGAACATCAAGTCCATTTATTTTTAATCATCATAGGGGTGTTTGGGCTGCACTTTGTCTGGTCCCTCACCTAGGACCTGTCTGTCTTGGGTGACCCTACTAGGGGCATGAAGCCCCTGACAGCATAGCTCCTAGGATCATTGGGACACTCAAACTCCTCCACTACGGTAAGGTGGCAGCCCAGGGAGGGATTTCCTTAAATGAATTGTTAAAATTGAATAGTTTTCATTTGATACCATTTCTATCTTAACATGTGATTCTTGACCTGCCATTGTGTATCTATTCCTACCAAACCCAGCCGGTCGAAGCAGATGGTCCACTTGTCCTGAGCCTGGTTCTGCTAAAGGTTTCTTCCTCATGAGGGAGTTTTTCTTTCCACTGTCGCCTTCATGCTTGTTCAAGATGAGAGTTCAGTGATGGAGTTAAACTCAAAGCTGCTCCTCAGATAAATAATGTTAAATTATTATTTTTATATATGAATGTTTCTGTTCAGTGCACTGAGATGACTTCTGTCGTAACTTGGCGCTATAGAAATAAACTGAATTCAACTGAATTGATTTAAACGCACTCCTTAGCCTTAGTGATCTGGAGAAGGTCAGCCATGCCTTTGTGAGCTCTAAGCTTGATTACTGTAATGTAGTGGAGTAACGGTACATGTGCGTGTATTGAACCGTTTCGGTACAGCATGTTCGGTTTGGTCCATATGCGTATCATTTCAGTTATTTTTTCAATCATTAAATTTTATTAACAAGCAATTATGCGCCGTGGAACTAAAGTTCCTAAACGTGTTTCAGCACGGCGCTAATAATTGTTGCATAGTTTTTCAGCACACGTAACATTAGCAGCCTAGCAGGCAACGAACAAGTCAGAGCTTTAGAACCCTTTCATCTCTTTGCAGTCTCCTGTTTGGGAACATTATGTCTTTCTTGTTAAAAGACAAGAGAACAAATCCAAAGTTGTGTGTCGACGTTGTTTCACGGAGACTGGATCTGCAGCAGCAACACGTCGAACTTGTTAACACTCTTGAAACGATATCATCCAAATGTGAACGTCTCTTCTATAGAAAAGCAGCTTGGTGCAACGAGTGATAGCAGCATTTAAACAACCTTTATCGGGTAATTTAGATTGGTCCAGAGCAATAACACAAGATGTAGGAGTTTTTAAAGCTCTGGATCCATGTCCGTATTACGTTGTTAATGCGCTGGCTTTAAAGTTCTTGAGTCCCGCTGCCTATGACATCCCATCACATCAAAAATTCAGCCAAAACGTTTTAGCATCACTTTCTGAAAAAGATAAAACATATTGTCAACAAGCCCTGGACCAGATTTAAAGCCCTGTCACATCGATGATGATGAGCGAGAGATTCAACCACCTCATAACAGAAATGATGACCGTGCAAGAAGAGGTAATGTTATTGTATTATTGTGATCTACCGGTAATTAAGTTTTTTAATTTTAAATTATCATCTTATTACCACTTTTTTTTTTTACCTCTTTGTTTTTGCAATCTGAGGATGTCACTGAGAGCTGCGAAGCTGAATCTTCTTCCTCTTCAAGGAATTTTTTTTATTTATTTTATACAAACGTATAGTTTACTTGGCATATTTTCAAAATAAATGTTTTGTAAGTCTTTATTTTGGCCTTTTTTCTTTTTTGTACCGAAAAATAACTGAACGGAACCCTCCCTGAAACTGAACTGAACCAAAATGTGATGTTAGGGTACCATTACACCCAAACTGTAATGCCTTATATGTGGGTATTAATCAGTCTTCTATCTCCCTTTTACAGCTTGTACAAAACTCTGCTGCTCACTTGTTGACTAACACACGTAAATATGAACACATCACTCCTGTCCTTTCTTCTTTGCACTGGTTCCCAGTTCAGTTTAGGATACATATCCTGATGCATGCTCAATAATCCAGGTAGAAAAATCCCAAAAAGTTCAATCTAGTCCTCTGGACATTCAAAAAAACCAAAAAACAAAACAAAGCAAAAAAATGTAGAAACGTTTCGTCTCTC